AAGCATAGTCTAGAGGAGTGTTCAACTTCTGATCTGCTGAACGGAGCAAACCAGAGCTAGGGAGCAAATGCCACTTGTTTGGTGACCGAAACCCTTGAAGTTACCTTCCAGATGTTCCACGCCATCGTGAATGCGTGATTGGTCCGCATTCTGTTTGTTTGTTTGCCGTTTGTTCAGGACCCACGTGATGTTTGCCAGACAATGACTCCCCGTTACTCATAATCTTTTCTCTCATTTCTTTTATTTATCTATTTCTTTCTCTATTTTTACTCAAACGACTGGGTTTCATCTCTAAATTCCTTCCCCTCGTGAACTTTCTCATACCAGTCTCATATAATATACCTGAGCACATCCATTACAACATATATTAAAACACAACAGCTTGTCACCATCGTCCTTGAGCGCATATAAAACTGAGAATGCCCGGCTGGTGGGGCTTTTGGGGCCCGAAGTTGCCTGATGATGTTCCTGAGAGTAGACCGCTTGCCTCGTGAGTAGCTCACCACTAATTGAACAGTTGGCAGCTAACTTATCATCCAGACGATGGTTCGGGCCCAGTAGAGCAATCGACTTTGACCATAAGCAACTGGTCCACATACCGCAAGCAGTCCTAGAGGAGCATCCGGGCTTCTTGGCACTGTGGCGGGAGAGGGACATCCTTTTCATCCCCAACATGCCCTATCATGTGGCCCATGTGTTGGTAAACTTCTTGTACACGAACAAGTACGAGAACCTTCGTATCGGTTGTAACAGTGGGATCGAGTCGGCCTTGACCGACTTTACCACAGCTATATACGTCTACAGTGCATGCGTAAGATACCAACTGCCTAGACTTCAAGTTCAGGCTGGCGAGCGCATTGCCATATACGGGGACAAGATCCCATTCCTCGAAATTATAAAGAAGCTTTCCGGATCACAGTTCACCGACATGAATCTTAGCGGAACACTTTACGATTACATTTGCGACCGAGCAAGCGCCGAGAACGCCAGCATGACTGACACATCCGCTGCTGAGATTAGAGCAGCCATGGGAGGAACCATGGCTAGTGTCTTATGCCAAAAGATCGTCAAGCTTGAAAGCGAAAAGAAGCATCTTAAGGAGATCCTTCGAAAACACTGAAGACGAGTCAGCGGGGATGTTTCTGTACGAGCTGCCTGTTGATGCTTGCCCCTTATTGAGTCAGAACAAGTCGAGAATCTGAGATGTTCAGACGACGGTAAAACTTGATGGAGATAGGGTGTCAAGTGTAAGATAGTAAGAAGTAGTATAGCTACAAAGTATAGGCCAGCTAAGTACCGATGTTGTTTGGAACTGAGTGAACAAAATTTTGTTCTACGTTCCACTTGCTTCCTCTTCCACATCTTTCTTACGCGACAAGATTTCCCATGGGTCTCTCTGACTCACTCTCAAGACTCTAGCTGGTGCTATCTCGTATCATAGAGTTCAATCACAACTGCTGAGTTTCCGAGCCCGAAGACATACCCAAGGACCGCCCGGAATTCCTCGCCTACTGGAAAGGTCAAGCAACACTAGACTTCCCGGATATTCCCTACCATGTCGCCCATGTTCTCCTCCAGTATATATATAAAAGGGAGTACCAACCTCAAGGCACATGGTGCTTACCAAGAAAGATGTGCCAGTGACTTTTGCACAGCAATCTATGCTTACAAGGAGTTGGAAAAGCTGGCTGCAGGAAGGATTCGGAGCTACGGAGACGAAATTGCATTTGTGAAGATCATGAAGCGCATATCGAGCCCTCCCTTTTCCAATATGGAGATAAAAGGCCTGCTTAACAATCACCTCTGCGCCAGTATGACTACACAAACAAGGGCTGAGATCGAGAAGGTTATGGGGAATACCATGATTTCAACACTCTACCAGCGAATTGTTGGGCTTGAGAGAGAGAAGGGCAAGCTGCAAGAGACTGTTCATTGTCTGCAGCAAAAGCAGACAAAGGGCTCATCTCGCAACAAGTCGAAATAAGATGATGGAGTTCGATGTATGGATTCCGAGTGGAAGTATCGGTGTGTCATATGTATAAAGTCAGGATGCTACATGGATAGTTGCCACGATATGGGTAGGGTATACGATCTGTGGTAGAAGCTGACGGCACGCATGGCAGTAAATCCATAGTATATCTCTATCTAGAGCCGAATATTGCAAAATGCATACGTTACACCGAGTCAACTATGAAATCGAAGTGACATGTTTTCAGTAGATGTGAACAGGTCTGTTGAAATAAATCACCCATTGTATAATTAAATCAGGTATAGATATTAAACATAAATGGTGGCAAACTAGAAGAGAGTTGCAAAGAATCGGGGAATGCAGTAGGATTGACATTTGCACTGAGGTTGATGATGATAGTTTTTGACAGGGGTCCTCCAACGAAGCCAACGATGGATTGGGCTTAGTGGCTGTTGGCTTAGACCCCGGTCCTAGTCTTCGGCCGTGGATTTCGTACGAGGTCGAGTTCGTGCGAGGTTCCATATTAGTGAAGACCGAGTAAATCATATTGGCCAACATAGTAAGTTCCATGTTTTGAATCTCGATACTCGGCCTAACCTTGCTCAGATCTCGCACGAAACCAATCCGAGGAACTTTTCGAATTGACATAAAAGACAGCAACTTCTCACCATGAATCTCTTTCTCTGCCTCCTGCTTATCCCGGTTATTCTCCTAACATTTCAAGTCAAAAGAATCGTCCCGGCCTTTTCTTCTACCTACTACCGCGTCAAGTTGATTCTTAACGACTTCTGTGGAAAGATGCACTCCTCCGCCGTGTCCGACTCCCCTGAGCTCGAGAGCAACAAGCCAACCGAGAAGAATGACCGAATCCCCCCTGATGGAGGAGCGAGAGCATGGGCTTGTGTCGCTGGATCGTTCTTGTTGCAGTTCTGCTCCGTCGGTTACGTCAACGCGTGAGTTTGGCCCTCGTTCATCGTGAGGACCGCCCACTGACCTCTGATCTTAGATGCGGCATGTTTCAGTTGTACTACTCGGAAGTCATGTTCAAGGACCAGTCATCATCGGCCTTAGCTTGGATCACCACCCTGCAGATCTTCATGCTATTCATGTTCGGTCCCGCTGTTGGCAAGATGATCGACGTGTATGGTTGCCGCAAGACACTGCTGCCCTTCAGTATCATGGCTGTTTTCTCCGTCTGCATGCTGAGCCTTTGCACAAAGTACTGGCAGGTCATGCTTGCTCAGGGGGTTGCTTTTGGTCTAGCCGCTGCTGGCTTATCTCTTCCCGCCATGGCAACGGCCACTCAATGGTTCTCGACGAAGAAGGGTTTGGCTGTCGGCATTGTTTCTGCGGGGAGCAGTCTGGGTAAGACGAAGAACTATTATCTTCGGCAGAACTGGCTAACATGAGATCAGGAGGTGTGATTTACCCTTGCATGATCCCCCGACTCATCGAAGAAGTCGGCTTCGCAACTGCTGTTCGTTGGACTGCACTATTGCAAGGAGTCCTCTTGGTCATCGCAAATGCCCTCTGTACTTCCCCTTTCCCACCGCTTGGTAAAGCCTCGCGACCAGCAAAGAAAGAGAACGTTACTAGCGGTGGAAGCAACGGATCCAGAAGAGGACCTTGGGTGTTCTTCATCCTAGGCTGCTTTTTCACCATGTGGGGACTTTTTGCACCCCTGAACTACCTCCCAGAGATGGCTTCACTTCACGGATACAAAGACCTCGCTGTGTATACCTTGGCCATCGCCAACGCCGGTTCCCTATTTGGTCGTATCGTCCCTGGCTGGATCAGTGACAGGATCGGCGGATTCAACACGATGGTCATTGTGACTGGCTTCTCCGGAGCTCTTGTCCTGGCCTTTTGGCTCCCCCTCGAGTTTCACACCTCTAAAGCTGGTATCATAGTCTTCGCCCTACTCTTTGGGTTCGCCAGTGGCGGTTTCGTCAGCCTGGGTCCTCCGTGTGTTGTATCCCTTGCCGAAGACCGGGTCGATGAGATCGGGTTCAAGTTGGGAAGTTTTTGTCTGAGCATCGCCCTTGGCGCTCTCACTGGACTCCCCATCCAAGGGGCTATCAAAGACCAGGAAGGGGATAGGTTTACAGGGTTGATGTGCTTTGCGGGCGCATCTATGCTGCTCGGAAGCTTCTGCATGGCGACCGCTCGAGTATGCAAAGAGGGCGCTCGACTCTGCAAGAAGATCTAGTTGGGAATGCCGGAAGCTTATGCGCGGCGAGAGTTACGATTTTCGAGTAGAAAAAGGCAAAAAGGATTCTAGTAGATAGTCGATTAATGAAAATGGCTTTTTACCTAGAAGATTCCAGTATGATCGCCTATGAAAACCTAATATACTTATTGGGGTAGTTATCATAACGTCTAAGTGTCAGCCGATGAAATGATTAGAGTCACACCAAAGCTCACATAGCTAGAGCTAGAGAATCAACTTGTTATAAATACATTTAATTCTAATATCCCATGAAAGATACCTGAGATAACCTACTACATTTCATAAGTTTTAGTGATCCATTTTTCAAAAGTAATCAGATTTATGTAACCTCAATGGCAATCACTTAAAGTTACAACTTCAATTGCGTTTTGCAGTGGATCCGACTTAAGTCAAAATAACACTAAATGCTATACATGTTGTCTATTGGGGAAGTCTATCTATCCTATTGTGCTATGGCACAAGAACCAGACCATATATTAGACCCCATATAGTCTTTCCGGCAACTCTAGAAGTTCACGATCTCGACGTTACTATCCTTTGACGACGGTACAAAGATAAATATGCCATAAGGCCAGGTGCGAGGCTGAAAATTGTCGAGGGCAGCTCTGGCAACGTCATGGCTTGTGAGGAGAGCGTTAGACTTTGTCCTGACTTGAATGAAACAGCCAATTGTTCCATCCCGGATCAGGATAGAGTGCGTGTACGAAGTCCGCTGATCTTGAACAGGGTTAGCATTTGGAATTTCTCCATTAACAGTTCCAGTAGCCTTACATTGGACCTCATTCTCCTCAAAGGTTGGAATTAGTAGGGGTAACGAGGCTCAGGTGCGTAGCGCAAGTCAGGGAAGCGGAGGCTGTTGATTGCACCGAGAAGGCCGTCGATCAGGGCATCGCCAGTTTGTAGTCCGAGCCCTCCACGGTCATGATGCATAGCCGTTGGGTGGGTGGAAGCGAAACGGCGAGTCACGTAGTGCTGAACATAGGCCCGATTTCGCTGGTACCATTCACCCTGAGCCATGAAGTTGACCATGATCCTGGTAAGGGAAATCATGTTCCCATACTCCTCCATGTGGGCCAGAGCCAGAGCGGCAAGTTCAGGGAGATTGAAAGAAGTTGCCTGAGCATTGATTGCTAGAGCATCGGCGAACTCTCGCTCCAGTCTAACCTCATGGGGCAAATTCTCGCAATGCACCATCTTGTACTTGGGCTTGGGGTCCCGTAGGTAGTGAGTGATGATTCGAGCCTGACGCTCAGAAGCACCAGGCCAGTGGAGGATACCGCCCTCAAACATTTCAGCGAACATGGGGTGGCGGCCAACAACAAACAAGGGCAGGCGGACGTCGCCGTGGGGGAAGCGGATGATGACGGTGACATGGGTAGCAGGGCTAGGTTTGGTGGTAAGTAATGATCAGTGAAGCGGGATGGCACGGATACATACAGAGGAGGGCCCACGGTGTCCATTTTGGCATTCTTGGAACTTCCGACATCAGGACTAAAGCTGATTGTCAGTAAGAGAGCTCAACAAGAGGCGAGACTGATACATACAGAAGCGGGCTCACGGTGACCAGGTTAGCATTCTTAGAACGTCCGGCAACAGGACTAAAGCTGATTGTCAGTAAGAGAATACGACAGGATGCGAGACTGATACATACAAAGGTTGACCCATGGGAGTGACGGAAGCATTGTTAGAAGAGCTGCTGGCTTCGACAGGCTGCTCCTGAGATGAACCCTTGATCTCGAGACCACCAGACTTGGAGAGATCGATAGCCCACTTGTCCCGAGCCTGCTCTTTGGAAGGCTGCTTGCCCTTGTCAGGCTTTTCAGGCTTGTCAGGCTTGTCAGGCTTGTCAGACATGGTGACTGCTTTGTATCTTTGATTTTCTTGTGGCAGGGGAAGCAGGTTGCCGAGTTTGTGGAGGAGTGGTGTGAGAAGGAGGAAAAGAAGGAAATGTTGTGGGTAGAAATAAGAGGATACGGGCCCTGGGTGTAACACAAACGCCCAGTCTTGCTGCTTGGCCCTCTTCTTATTGTGAGACTGAGCTCTGCAGTGGGCCGGACGACTGCAGCTCCACTAGGAGACGTGACTACTACCTACCGAACCACCCCCTGGTCACTAGTGAATCTCTCTTGTAGCCTGTAGAAGGTTTGACTTAGTCACTGCTGTGGTAACCTGGTTTGAGAACAGCCCTGCTTGTCTTGGGACAGTTTCCTTTCAGTCAACTCCTCAAATACAAGCCACCAAACACTCTACAAAACAAGTCAAGTCAAGATCAGCTTACCACAAAGACCGTCAGCCACCATGAAACAAATAAACGATAAAGCAGAACGATAGTCGACCTATCATACTTGATTCCCTGCAACCTCCGCGCTGTCACGCATTCATCCGCCCCTTATTCCAGAAGAAATGGCCTAGGCTGGCCATGCATCCAGATGTATTATGCTCAGGCGACGGCTGATGAATTTAAAGTGAGTACCAGGCTATTGACCTGCATTCTGTATACCGTTAGGTCATGCCAGATCTTTAGTAGTGTCTCACGCAGCCGTATATCAAGTTTCCCGTAAATTACTTCTGGGGCTTCCTTAACCATTACTGACAGATTTGCATAGGATTTTTACTGTAGCGTACGCCTAAGTTCTCTAGCCTCCAATACCTGCAGCCAAGTCTACAATCACAAGCATTGACTTCATGAACTTCAAGAACGTATGGAGTCTTGATTATCTATTAGGAAGGCGGGCAGCAAACAAATGTCTCGATGGGGACCGTCATCAGCCATCAATTCACCAAGGGATCCTCATATGATTTACACAGAACGTATTACTCAAGGTTGCCAACGTTTGTTTCAGGTAGGCAGAGCAGCGTTGGTATTCAACACGGACCAGGAGCTGTAGGATCAATGTTCCAAAATCCCTGGTTAATCTTGTCAGCGGAAGCCCTCCCTTCAAAGAGATACAAGTTCACGTACCCAGTCAAACATAATGTCAGATTCCAGCATTTCTATGCTACCCAACGCTGTTGGGTCAGACAACGAAGCTGATGATGTGAATTCTCCGAAAATCGGCATGTCTGGCAGCAGTGCTGGGCTCGAAACAGTGGCAGAAGAGCCTAGCCCCTGTGTAGTCTCGTTGATGGGCAAGTCAGTCCGCGCAGTCTGGAACTGTGTCACTGGAAAGGGTCTCGATGTAGATTTGGCGAGACAGTTTGAGATGATACGATTCATCGCATTCCACATCGGTGTTGCTTCTCGCCCTCTTGCAAGCATAGTCTTTTTCAATGCGTCCAGCGCTCGTGATCGTAATGCTTGCCGATTGGGAGCATCGAAGCTGGGCATGTCAAGCTCAGAGACAATATGCATGATAGGTTGGAAACATGCATGACCACCAATATGCCATCCGAACCGTTGGGCGTCCTTATCCCCTGGCATCATATTCAAGCTTTCGATGAGATTGACCGATTTCTCTAATATTCTTCAAGTATATGTCAGTCTTTGTTCCTGTCGAAGAACCGTTGCAGCGTTTCATATCATACATACATTTGTCGAACTTCAGGGGTCATCACCGACTCCCGGTACTGCTTTGGTGTTCGCAGCCAGAAGATAGACCAGCACCGCCATTCGACTACCGTTGCAAGTCCAATTGCCATTCTCTGATCCGGAATATGTGGACTACAGTATTGAAGATAGTGCGTTTGGAAATGGTTGACCATCTCATCCACAATGCCCCTGACTTCCTCGAATAAGGACCGAAGCTTGGCAACTGGGTTCGTGTTGTCATCATTATTAGATTCTTGTGATTTCTTCATTCTTTCAAGCTTATAAGTGCCTCGAACAATTCGTCTAAAACAATGATGTCCGTACAGACGGATCAAGTGAACTGTCATGTCAGTAAACCCAGCCGTTGCAGATGTCTCGTCTAAACTGCCCTCAACGAGGTATTCATCCGATACGTTTCGTGGAAGAAAGGTAGTGAAGTCGTCGTCTGATATGGTCGGCTCTTGACCCCTGCTTTCTGCAGAGCGATAGTCGAGGTGGCATATCTGATGCCACAGCCTGCGGCGAATTTCAACTTGTATAACATCCATGCCCGTGGATGTGAACAGTGAGGGCTCTCTATGCAGACCTTGTGAAAGCGCCATCTTGTGGGCAAGACCTAAAAGGGTCCACGTTTTTGTCATGTCATCTTCTCGTGACTGACAGGTCTAGTGACAAGTTAGCTAATTCGCAGGCTCTCAGATGGGAGGTGTGCACACTCACCAGAAGCAGTACAAATGCTTGAAGTACTTCGATGCTTGACGTAGTCAAGAAGTTTTCTCTCCCCAGACCAAGTTGTATGCCATGCTGAAATTGGGAAAGTAGTTCCTCCTTTTCTACAGAAAATTGCGACACCACCTCTTCAGCCGAAAGACTATTGATAGCTGAATAAAAGACAGCCAACGCCAATGGTTCGAAAGTATGAATATATTTGCCGGAGTGAGCGGTCAAAAATTCCCCATCGTCAGAGCTTGAAGCGTCTAGACCATACGTGTAGTCGATATACTGGATCAGTCGTCGATTGAGCGTGGGCTTGTGAACTATTCTAATCATTGGATCAACGTTAGAGTAGAATGTATCAAGTAGAATCCTACACGCGTCTGCTGAAGGCGGCGCCCATGTCCTGAGGTCATTTGTCGAAGGCCCCGAAAATGGAAAGGGGGATACTGAGCGAACTGTCGGCAAGCTTTCTCTCGGTGCATCCCCGGACCGGCCTCCGAGCAGCATCTTAACATCACGGATCTAGAGTTATCTGTTAGAGACAGAAAGTTCAGTGAGGAAGCGAGTTTACCTCGTCAGCCAGGAGAGAGTAGTGAAGAGATGATACCCAGCGTGATTGATCCCTTTCGCTTTCGAGGAGCAAAGCGCCATCGTAACCATCAGTCGATAAGGTTTCCGACTGAGGATTCGGCGAAGAAACCAACCCTTGCTGCTTTGAATGTGGATGCTCCGGGTTGGAAGCTGTATCAGTCGGGTGTTGTGAGATAGCAGGGCCGCCGCTGAGGGCGCGTTCAAGAAGTTGCCCCAAACGTTCGAGGCGGTTCTTGATCTCATCTTGACCAGTTTGCCGGTTGCTTCTTGACACTCTATTTCTACTTCCAAGATGAGAGGTCTGTGAAGTTGATTGTGGGCTGGTGTAAGTACAAACACGGTTTCCTTTCTTACACGGTGAGCAAACTGGTTGTACGTGGTCACACTTTACTTTTCGATGGCGGCAGGTCAGACAAGCTGTGATGACACGCTTTCGGCTGGGTTGGTTGACTTCGGAAGTGCCGGTTTGAGATTCCATTGCTGAGGTTGAGGTAGTTGGGGCCGGAAGACGAATTAATATGACATGAAGCCAATGGTGAGATGGATAATGAGTGAAAAGAGGTGAGTGGTGGGGAATAAGACGCGCCTAGCTTATGGCCTGAGCGTCAGAGAGCGTCTATGGATTCGAGCTGACAAGCAACGGTTCCTATTGGCTCCACTGACGCATGTATCTTACAATTTGTATCAGCATGGTTTGCGCAGTCGTCAACTAGCATAATTTGGTATTATAGAACTTCAAAAATAAAAATAAGAAAAGCTGAGTTAATATATTTACGGAGAAATCCTAGGAAGTTTGTGACCAGAGACCTCTGAGGTGATGAGAGTATTGGCGGCTGGTTCAGGAAGCGTGCACGTTAGCAACAAATATAAGGGAATTCTCTACTCACGTACCTGGCCAGGGAAAAGTGTGAGTTTATACTAAGAATTATTCATCTGTCATCATTTGAGTCTCTAATCTCAACATGTATCTGCTTATTAAAGCCTTGGAGCCTGTGCAATATCTTTCCTGATGTTTAGACTCATTAATAGTCTAGTATCCCCTAAAACGCTAGACCATTCTTAATTCATCTATCTACTATTTTAAGAAAGACTGCATACTATTGTTGAAGACCCACATCTATATTTCGTCCCTTTAGGATTGCTCTCTCTAGAATTTCGTCTTCCTTCAAACAATTCCACGTCTGAGAAGTAGGTACATCTGCAAAAGCTGATATGACCTTACACTGATATTAAACTCGCCAGGCGACGATCCACTAAAGTTTTAGTAAAGACTGGATATAAATTCAAAAGCATCCCTGGCAATGGAAGACCAAGATGCCTTGATGAACGGCAGCAACCTGCCCGAGTCGTAAGTATTCGTACCGTGAGGTGCATGCTTGTTCATTCATTAGCGTCTTTACTGACCAGAAATTAGTCCCTATCTCTTCAGCACCGTCCAAATCATGTTTGCTGACAACTCAATCTACTGGGTTTCGGTCCATCGGCTGGAGAGATATCCTAGGTTCAGGCTCTCCTACGACAGGCAGAGAGATGTCGTGAAGCTCAACTGGCTGAACGAGACACAAACGGCTGACTTTATGAACTATCTACGCAATGGGAAATGGGAGAGCCAAAAGCCAGAGGACTGGGACGGACCACTGGACTACTACAACAGGATGCAACAGTGTCTGTCGGTCCACGGCCTCGCTTTGGACTACGGAATGTACGAGCTCGCTAGACTCACATTTGGGGAATTCACCAGCATGGCTGGTCGACTATCAATGTTCAATGTCTTGGAGATGCTTCAAGCAGTCAACTTGACGCTTCAGAGCAACCAGACCGTTTCGGCCGACCACCTCACCGAACGAGAACTAGTTGCTATGGGTGAGGAGGCCATCATGGCGGAACACATCGCAAGCTTCGAAAGACTATCACTAGTCGAACATTCAACAACACCCGCCAATATCACTCAGGCTGAATCAAACGAGATGATGCACAAGCTCCAACGGTACCAAGAGAGGTTCGGACCTCTGGACTATGGAGACCCTGTCAAAGCAGAGGTCGAGTCCTCGGAGTAAGATAAAAATCAAAAGATGTTATTTCTGCTCCTCAAAACGCTGAGGGGATAAAGCGTGAGTCTTTCAAAGAGGCTGTTGCCACGAATTGCTACGGTTCTCGTCTAACGAAGCAGATTTGGAGGAAGAAGTCCTTGGGAGGTTAGGGGTTAGGATGATGCTGCATGTGCTCCAGAGATTTGTTGGTTGTTGATGGGGTTTAGCCCTGTCTCTTGTACTTCGAATAGCAAAATGAAAAGCAAGCGCCTATGACATAAGGATTTGGTCCCCGGGCATTAAATTTTTTCGGTTTTAATCTCCTCATGCAGGTTGTAGAAGTGTCTTCGAATAGTATAACGACTCAGGAAGTCTGGTATTCTGGCTAGCCTAAAGGTTTGCAGCTGACACCAACGGGCTACGAGCTTTCTCCTTTTCCATCCTTCTGGAGTGAAAAGCCTAGCTAAGATCCGTTTTCTTTTCCGCCGGATAAACCGAAGTTTCCCTACCATCGTGTGATTCCTCTTGAGAATTGGCCTCGGAATCTTCTGATATGACTTCCCGAGCCTTGGCTTGCCGCTTCCTATCCCAGGCCAGAAGTAGCTGAACAACGGCAGTCCAGACGACTGATGAGTCAGTTAGTATTGTGTAAACTAGTTGATGGATTAGGATCTCGTATGACTTACTCAGTAAAGCGTTGAGCACGGTAGACCATGTATAGCCCTTTGCAGCCCTGGGGAAATCGGTAGTCTTCCAAACAAAGTTGGGAGCCACGGCTTGGACCACATAGGCGAAGTCGTTAGCCGCAGCTACTAGTAAGGCTCGCTTTTCGGTATCGGCGGAGCAGATCTCGTTGATCCAGCTGAGAATTAGGGGACCCGCACCGTTCTAAGGGGTTTGTGAGTACGTCTGCTGATCTCCATTGGTTCAGATGAGACTTACGCCGATATTGGCAAACCAGTAAACAAGAGTTCGGTCTCTGTTGTTTCCGTAAAGAGGCATCTTGAGAAGAGCGATATTGAAAGCCATCTGCCAAGGAGTTAGTCATTGTATGTCTCGTACACCGAGACCATAGTGAACTTACAGCGATAATGGCGCCGGCATAGATGAAAGGCCATCGGAGACCCTTCAGGGGTCCATCGGAAAGCCAGCCCCAGAATAGAGCCATGACAATAAAGATTGCGGTCGACGGTAAAGGCAAATTGTTGATCTGAGCGACGGAATACGAGGTGCCGGGTACGGGAGGAGGATCGGCGTTGAAGCTCTTGAGCCAGTATCCCATGGCGGGCTGAGGGTACGCGTTGTTCCAGAGAACGTAAATCATAGCTATTACACAGTTTAGTCAAAGAAATAGCGCTCGTAGTAGCTGGTATCTTACGAAGGAAGTATGTGTGCCAACTTAGGAGAATGGACTTGAGCTTGGCCTTTGTCCACTTCTCCTTTCCAGCTCGACCGATGGCCTTCATTCGTTCAATCGAGATCTCGTGCTCCCTTTCTGTAGTCCACCAAGTCTTGACTCCATCTTGAGGAAGGTTGGGGAAGAAGAAGTAGCCCGCAACTGCGAGTGGAAGGGTGATGATGCCGTCGATGATGAAGAGCCAGCGCCCTGTGCCCCGGTCAGCGTTACTTGCCGAAGAAGGAGGAATGAGAGACTTACAGCCTGCATGGCCATGGACACCATTCAAGTTTGTGTAAGCAGCTGCCTGGAGGAAGCCACTGAACATGTTACCAATGCTACCAGCCAGCCAGAAGATCATAGCGCGCTTTCCGATTTCGCGAGGGGTGTACCAAGAGCCGAGCATATAGTGAATACCAGGGTAGAAGCCGGATCTGGGGCCATGTTAGTCAATGGGATCACAAAAACATTGGAATGGTTAGGTGGACTTACTCGAAAAGACCAACGAGGAACCTCAGAGCGTACAAAGCCTTGTAAGAGTGCACAGCTGAAGTACAGATAGTTGCAATACCCCAACCAACTTCAAGAGATGGGATAACCCAGCGCGGCGATACTCGAGTAAGAAGCAAGTTCGAAGGGATCTGACCGACGACATAGCCCACAGTCCAGATGGATGTGCCTGTCGAGTGTGAGTTGGACTCGGAGCAACTCAGGAATGGGTGACTTACTGGTAACGAGCTCATTGCCATACATGTTTAACTCTTCCTTCATTCCACTCAGAAACGCATTGTTGACGTTTGTTTGATCGATGTTTTTGAGGAAGTACCCAATGGAAGCAAATGTCAAGACAAAAGCGTCAACCTTGAAAAGAAGCCATCGCTGCTCCTTGGGCAACTCCCAAGTATCCCAGACATAGCTCTTCCAGGACTTGCCGCTCTTTTCGCTCTCTTCGTACTCAGTCGCTGAGTTATCGGTATCGCGATCGTAGCGACGATCATCGACCGCAACGGCAGTCGTCTGTTTGACTTCAGCCATTTCTGATGGCGTTTGCTTGGCAGGCACCCGTTGTTGCTTGGCGCAGCGTGGCTTGGGATCAAGACAGACACAAGAAAGTTACTGAGAAGAAGCCTCATACTTGGCGAGATCTGCACTTCTTTTTTATACGCCGCGTCTTGCATGGTGGGTATGCAGTCATTGTTGCTAGCGATCGCGTCAATTGAGATGGGTCCGCGGGCGTTATCGCTGCTACCCAACTTGGCCGAAGTGAATAAAACTATGGATCGATTTAATCGATAGACAGTTGTAGCGATTATCCGAGTCGTGCTTTCTGGTAGGGATGGTTGGCCGACGTCGGGACGTGCTATATGGTGGGTGTTGCGTGATTCTGGGGTTGATGACACCTTTGGCTTTAGACGGTAATAACGGTCGGGGTCCCTTATCTCTGGCCATAGCGCAAGACAACTTCGGACCTGAAGTGGGATATGTTCATAATGCTCTCATCTGAGATATCGAAAGTATTTGCGAATTTGGTCGTTGGTTGTGTTTGAGCGTCAATTGGCCAAGTGACTGGGATACCCAGGGGCCGAGAGATTTATAGTCTTAACGACAAAATCACTATTTAAACTGTTAGCCCAGAAGCAACTGACAGGAGCATGAGAAAGATATGAAACTTTCGAGATAGAATTAGTAAGATACTTGCAGAGTCTCATTCATCTTGACTATACAACGCCAGTAACAGATGGTTCCGGAGTAGATGGTCTAGACCTGTTTTCCGTTCTCTATATCCGATATCTAGTTGCATAATTCCTGCTACCAGTCGAAAAGTGGCGTCAAAGATGGCAACACCACCTCTTCTGCGTTGTATTCGTGGGGGTCGGGGAAGAGACGGGCAAAGTTGAGGACAAGGCTAACCGAGAGCTTAGGCTTCGATATCAGTAATTCTCAGACGCAGAAAGGTAGGATTCGTTTCCCTCTTCTGGAGAAGCCCCACTAATAGAATGGCGTACCACGAAGTGCTGTGAGCCCGACTTGACGTTGTTAGAATCTCAGAGTGAACCCACTTTTTCTGTTTTCCATCTTCCTCCTCAAGCTCGATTCTCTGATAATAACGAAACGCGTCACGCTGCCAAATTGAAGTTCTTTAGACCTTTTAAGCAACATCAAGCCTGCTATTCATCGTCCTTATACAAGTTATAGTACAGCCGCTAGGCAAAGCGGAACCATTACCAAGCCTAGTTCAACTCGACAGGGGGTTGAGCACGCAAGTCCCATAGCTTATTCGCACATCGCTCCGGGGCCGGGAGACTATACCCGCAGCATGGCGGACCTGATGAACGTCCCGTAAGTACATACCTGGTGGTTGAACCATGCTATGATTGGTTGCTGACTGCTTCCAAGCTCTAGACGTTACAAGATCTTCAACAACAAGAAAGAGGCGATCAAGATACCCGCTTCACATGTCCTGAAGCACCCGACCTTTGAGGAGCACTTCACCAGAACCAGCCGTTCAAGGACCCGACGCCTTAAAACTGGACGTTGCTCATGCATCATCGACATCGTCGCAGTATTCCTGCGCGATGGCAGGTTCTACAACCTGCATACCGGCCAGTGTCGTTGCATTTGTAAGTCGACTAACTTCTTGACCCGCGCCGTCGCTATTTACGACTTTGCGGTCGAGTTCGAACTTTATGCACTCGTAGAGCTGGTTGCAGACGACATACCCAAGTTTGCCAAGCGCATGCAACCTGCAGACGTCCTCTGTCTCAAGCTGATGTATGGGGCACCCGTGACACCAGAGGCTGATGGGACATCTGACGATCCTCAGCTCTCGAATCATGAGAGTCTGCGTCAGGACCTGGCTCAATTGGTGATGTCTTTGGCCAATTAGCCCCGAGTCAATGAGAGCGGGGTCTGAGACAATATGTCGCCCTGTCACTGTCCGTATAGAGAAGTCGAGTTACCTAGACCTTGATAGCGAAGAACATCAGGCTGAAGAAATGTGACCAATGGGTTCGTTGTTTCTTTTATCAAAACTGAGCTGTATTTCAACCATAGTAGAAAGGTTAGAGACACCTAGTACCAAAGATGGTCTGACATAAATGCCCCACGTGATGTGAAGTGTAAAGTATGTATTTGACCAATAAGCTTCGGAAACATGGCGTCCAAGGTTCCCACTGTTGTCCTATCTATGACGTCTTGATCTATAATTCTCAGAATACTCCGCACCATACCAAACATTACTTGAGAATATCAAAGCTGGCAGCGCAAACATGTCGATCACTCACACTGTGCTCTTTCAATTCAAAGACAGCGTCGACCAAAAGGATGTAACAAAAGTACATGAAACAAGCAAAGGCTGTTTGGCTAATTGACTGACAAACCGACTCCCGTTAGACATGCGATGATTTCCTTCGCCTGAAAGATCTGTGTATCCATCCTACAAGCAAGAAGCCTTACATTATATCACTACAAGGAGGCAAGGATAATTCGCCAGAGGGGATGCAGGTAACTCTACCAGACCATCTTTGCCTGGATCTGGTACTAACAGATCGTAGAACGGGATAACCCATGGATTCGTTGCAACCTTTGAGTCGACAGAAGATCGTGACTACTACGTCAAAACTGACCTAGCCCACCAAGCCTTCATAGCTCAGGTCGGGGGTCTTGTCGAGAAAGTCATTGTCGTTGACTTTACGAATGGCGTCTACTAGGGTCAACTCAGCACTTTGCTGCTGAAATAAAGGTCTACATGCCAAATGAAAATCAATTGGGCACAGTCTCCTTATTTCAAGTAGGTAGCCAACGATGCATAAGATCAGAACTTGGTCAAAGACCCAAAACAAGCATGAAAATGGAGAAAATGTTAGAACCAAGATGGCACCCGTTTATAGCAACCCCATCCATACGTCAGTAACACGATCTAGAGGTTTCACGGCTCTGCCCAGCTGAACATCTTGCATGCTTGCTCAACGTACTGGTGCCAATAGGAGGCTAAATAAACGGGCATGTCCCGGATCTTGGTGGCCTGTCAAGGCGCTTAGTCGACGGGTAAACCCAAAGCCGGGCGCTTAAGTCACGCCAAATCCAGATCTTGCACAAGGGGCTGGCACCATCCAAGTCCACCTACGAATGTACTCCTTTCACAGCACCGGACTCCTTATTTTCTCGAGATCAAATTGCCGAAAAATTGTTTAATCAGCTACAATGGCTTTTCAACCAACGAACAGATCATCACTCGGCTCAGGCTCGAGCGACAGCCAGACTGGCGCCGGTCTCAGACAACTTGCGATACATACCTTGGATCAGCCCCATCAAGACACCGTAAGGAGTGCGATTTCCCGGATTCTTGATACAGAGATTGCGGAAATTACATATGCTCAAATCATTGATGGCTTGCCTCTGGGCGAAGTTGCGTTTGAATCAAGAGGGGGAATGCCTCACAGTGACCATCCTATCAATCATTGCCACGACAAGCTTTGCGATGGGATTTTGAATAGGACACGAGAGTTTCACAGAACTTTTGACCCTATTGTACTTCAATTTGACTCAAGAGTGAGCATAGATTCCCGTATGATCTTTATCGATATCAATAATTAATGCCGTGTGTTAGCTTCTCCTTACATTCCAGGCTGCTTCTCCTGGGTCACAATCTTTCGATACACGCCTCATCGAGATAATTGCGATAGCAGTTCATCAAATTGCCGCACTTCTCTATGGGATTGAAGAAGGACTGCACAAGAACGATGGTGTCATTGAATGGGCACCACCAAAGTCTGACAAGATCTGGTGGTCACATTGCCCAAATGGGCCTGAACCCTGGATGTTCTTCCACCCTTGGTATTTAAGTCATGATAGGTACCCCAACGGGGTAGCAGACATGGTTGGATATTGGGCTGAATCCAGAATTCTCGGTGGTGTCGTTTTGTTCGACCGGCGCCAGCCAGTACCAGGCTCTGGCGTGGACCAGGATGCTGTATACATTCACCCTGACAGAGAAGACGTAACTTATAGAATCTGTCGCTTGACCTCTGAGCAGAAGCTGCAGCTACTCAAGTTTCTTACTGCCGAAGAGCCAGACCAGAATCCTCTACCAATTCTGCCTGATGAGAAAAACGATTACCGCATTGACCCGGAAGAGTCTCCCGAGGAAACTGGGATATACAGGGATATATGGGATCGCTCAGAACTTCGTGAAGACGCGTATGATCAAAGACTGAGGGATATTTGGAATAAGCTGGGTTATCTCACTCATAGTGACAAAGGCAACGCTGGAGACCGAGCACTAGAGAGAAGAAACCGGATATTCTACGCATATTCTGATGACGAGGCCTAATAAGGTTTTTATAGAAAAGCTTATAGCATATTTATAACATCCAAAGCACAATGGCCCACGTAATTCAGCCGCACTGTCAATAGTATTTGCCTGGATAAGGGGCATGTTACTTACTTTAGTACTTAGCTGGGAGCTTGGCCAATGTTACCTTAACTATAGCCAGCAACCAGATACTTCTGAAATTCACCGAGTTCCTTAGTGATTAGTGCCGAGAAGCCTGATGTTACCAGCAAGGGGCCTGGGACGCCATCAACTCTCCAGATTCGGTTAGTGTAGGCCTCTGAATCTACGACCGCCAGAAATGATACTGCCCTGGATGTTGCCCTGTGTGCAAGAAGGTTCCTTGTAATGGAACCCACCGTGAATCAGAAAGTCACGGGGTTCGTTGTCCCACCTATTTCAACTGCCGTTTCTGGCCCTCCTCATCTTTTTTTCTTCATCATCCACTCGTCCCCATCACCATCGCTATGGACAACGACAACACCATGAAGGGCTTTGCTCCCAGCCACGGCTCAAGTAGCAGTGCTCACCCTTCCTCCACTACCCTTGAGGAAAAGAAAGAGGCTCATCATCCTGTCGCCAAGGGCGAGTACCAGCAAGAGGGTAAGTTAGCAGTCAATAATCGACAGTGTACGCATACGTGACAAAGCTGAATATTGCACAGTCCTCAAGGTTGCTCAACGCACCTATCCGAAGGAGCTTC